TTCTTTGCAGAAGGCAAAGACGTTTTGAACTCAGCCTCGTGGACATTCCAGTTGGTATTTGAAGACTCTTATATTGTAAACTATTTCTTATCTGTTGTGTTTTGGCAGACTTGCAAATACTTGGCAAGGTTCTTTCTTGTGGGAGCTAATTAGTTGGAAGCAGCCTTTTATCTGTGAAGAAACAGAATTCTTAGCTGAAACATAAAAAGGTTGTACTGCTGCCTTTGTCTTGGGTTTGCTCTCTTGGGACCAGGTTTGGGTCAGAACAGCAGCCTTGAAATTCGAATCAAGCCATGAAAATATAAACGTCTCGCCTTTTCTTTTGCAGGGGTTATTCCAAAGACAGCGAAAGCAGCTGGTTTCGCTCGCTCTTCGTCCACAAGGTGGATCCCCGAAAAGACGCCCATTCCAACCTCCTGTCCAAGAAAGAGACCAACCACCTCTACAAGATCCAATGTGAGTCCCTCCCTGCGCGATTTCTATGGTGTGTTTTTTCCCCCTCCTCTTTCTTTCCTGGAGCTGCTTCAGTCGCACCACCGAATCCTAATTTCATGGGCCACTGAAAGAGGTTTGGACTTCAATTCCCAGAATTCCCCAGCTGGCAATGCCGGCTGGGGAATTCTGGGAATTGAAAGTCCACATGATAAGCTGTAAAGTTGACGGTCTTGATTATTACTTAATGATTTACGAAATGTATTATCTGCCTAACCTGTTTGGGGCCGTTTTCGCCCTCCCGGAGGCTCGAGGGAAGCCTCTGCAGCCTTGGGAGGCCGAAAAACGAGTCCGTTTCGGCACTTCCGGTATTTCCAGAAGGCCCGTTTTTCGGCCTCCCAAGGCTGCAGGCGCTTCCCTCGAGCCCCTGGGAGGGCGAAAACGGCCTCAAACGGGTCGAAAATCAGCTGGGAGGCGTGCGCATGCACAGTGCAAGTAAATTTGGCTGCGGCTTGCGTGCCATAGATTCACCATCACGGCTTTAAGTGAATGCACCCATTGCCTTAAGCCCAGGTTTATTTAAACCCAGGTCTGTTAAATAAGCCATGACTGCTAGAGTTCATACAGCATGCAAACCCAACATCTAACCCAAGAATGCTTTGCAGTATATGAGATCTTTGCAAAAAGGGTATTTTTTTTCCCCCAGTGCTGTGATTTCTGGGCGGAATTGTTTGAAGCTGCCAATCCATCTGCTGTGATTCACTTCCTGTCCATTTTTTTCCCCCCGGGCCCTTCCCTCCTACTTTTCTTCAACCAGTTTTTCTTTCTCTCCTTTTCCAGTCCACAATGTGAAGCCCGAAAGCTTGGATTCCTACAACAGACTCGCGTAAGGATCAGCCTATCTCGTTCTTCATGGTTTAGTAAACCACAGTGTATTTTCTTAATGGTCCTATTTGGGTAGCCCCACAGTATTGCGCAATATATATTTGATTGATGAAGACGCAGCTCTTAGAATGCAGAATTGCAGGCTGACTCTGCCCATAGTCTGGAGTTAGATCCTGACCGGCTCAAGGTCGACTCAGCCTTTCCGTCCTTCCGAGGTCGGTAAAATGAGAAGATCCAGATTGTTGGGGGCGAGAGGCTGACTCTGTAAACCGCTTAGAGAGGGGCTGGAAAACACTGTGAAGTGGTATATAAGTCTTAGAGCTAAGTGGGTAGGAAAGAAGGAAAGGAAGGAAGGAAGGAAGGAAGGAGAGGGAGGGAGGGAGGGAGGGAGGGAGGGAGGGAGGGAGGAAGTTTGTTGGTCCAAGGGAAATGCTTTGCATTCAAATAATTGCATTCAAGTGACTCGACAAACCCATCCTTCACTGTTGGTTAGCCTCCATTGCACACTCAGTAACTTGCGAAGCGAGCAGAGGGAAGGTCCAGCTTTTAGCAGCACCGCAATCCTGAAATTGACCATTATTTAACAGATATTTGCTTTCTCTCCCTCTGTTAAACGTTGGGCCTCGCTCTGCAGGGAAGAAGTCCTCCCCAAGCTGCATTCAGACACCGGGTATCCATGCGAACTGGTTGGGAACTGGAATACCTGGTACGGCGAGCAGGACCAGGCAGGTAAGAAGCTGCGTGAAGGGCACTGTACAGGACACAATCCTCACATAACGACCATCTGTTTTCGTGACTGTTCAAGGTTATGAACGGTGCTGCAAAAGGCGATTTAGGTCCTCACACTTACAACACGGTCACAGGCATTCTCGGGGTTGCAATCCAGGCACCTGGCAACCGTCCCGCGTTTACAACGGTCACTGGGTGTCCCCCGGTTGCCATTTGTGGCTTTCCTAGCCAGCTTCCCATATGCAAAATCAACGGGAAAGCCGATAGAGAAGGCGGCCAGTCACAGTGGGATGGGATGTGTCACTTAATGACCATAGTGGTTCGCTTAACGGCCCCAGCAGAGGCAAAGGTTGTAACATGGGGTGCGGCCACCAGATGCCTCACAAAATCACCATGTCACTTAACAACAGGATTTCCAATCCCTCTCATGGTCATAAGTCGAGGTCGGCCTGTAGTGTTTTCTACCTATTTTTCTACTGATTTTTCCACTGATTTTCTATTGATTTTTCTAGATTTTTCTACAATTTTTCTTCTAATTTTTCTATTGATTTT